CCTTAAATTAAAATAAATTAAGCTGTAACTAAAGACATGAACATAATTACTATTCAGATACAAACACTTCAACGTGCGTTTATGGTGTTCCAAATATCAAATGGCCAGCATTAACTCCCAGCTCAACACAATTTTAATATTTAGTATTGTACATCACATATATTAAATAAAAAAAACATAAGTTCTATCGGGTTGTAGTTTGCTAATCACGCCTTCACCAAAGAACAATATTAACGAAACCCTTTTAAATGAATATTAATTAAGAAACGCAATGACACAGAATATGACACAATCACTATCAAAACTCTCTCTGTTAATAGTATATGTCTAGAAGCAAGTAATAATAGCGAAGATATTTACAGTACAAGCGTTATAAAAAACCAAATTGGTAATTGAACACCGCGTAAGAAATATTAACAGTCTAATGCATTATATGTCAACTATACAATAATACAAATATCTTCCTTCCAATAGTGTGAAATATATTCAACTACTCTTATAGTCAATACCTAGAAGCGCCCTAGATGAAACACCCTAGAAGCGTACGCCTAGTGTTATCAAAATCGCAGATACAAATTATCCAGTAAGTTTAATATACGTAATCTACAACGCAAATGCCCAACGACTTACACATTAAAGCCAATCGCAGTCCACAGAAAAAACACGAAAACCAAGTCAGACGTCAAGACACAATTTGTTATAAATAAGCCGCACTGAAAGAAAAAAATATCCATAGAAATAAATAAATATATAACACTACAAAAGATTTTAAATTAAAATTTTATTTAAAAATTTCTTTTATAAAAGGTATAATACTAAAAATCCTATCGAGCTACATCACACAACGTTTTCAGATTTATTATTACATCATCAGTGCTATCTGGATGTACAGGGTTTCTCATTATATTTTGACCCCCATTTATTTTCCTTAATTTCGGCAATACAAAAAAAAGTTTCAAATAAAAGTTGTATTATTTTATCTGTACCGACCAACAGTGTAGCAACAGACCAAATTTTGTATACAGGGAGTGCCCAAGAAAATGCATCTTCAATATAATGGCGTATGGTACTACTATACTATACTAAGATAAAAAAACAAAGATATTTTTAAAAAGTCAACAAAATTAATGACCTACAACACTACATAAAACAGTGTTCTAACTATTTGTTTTGCAATATTCTGCACCACAAATTTATTGATTTTCTTCCTGACTTTTTTATTTGCTTAATTTTTCTTTTTCTATCATTTTTCTGTTCCCACGAATACCAGTTTCTTCTATTAAAAATGCCTGAAGTTAAAAATTTTGATTCGTCTGTCCATAAAATATAAAAATAATTAGGATCATTGTTTAAATTTGTAAGCATGTCTTGACAAAACTGTAAACACTTTCTCTTATGAACATCGGTAAGTTCTTATACCGGTAATATTTTGTACGGCTTATAGTTGGGCTTTTTTAAAACTCTATGTATCGTCGCACGGCTTTTCTCTAATGCATAGCATTGTTTAGACTATTTTCGGAATTTTCTAAAATAAAAATGTTATTATGGATTTAATCTATTATTTAAGTATTTAATTTATTTTGCCTTCAAAGTAAAGCAAAGTATTAAGATCTTCATTATCATTTCCTACGATAGTACGTTTCTTCCGTTCAAACATTTTTTCATTTATGACATGACGATAATTATATAAAAATGTATTTGCAGAACGATTCTGTCGATCTGGATAAATCAACCTATATTCCCTTCTTATCGCTTGCTTGCTTTTATTATTTTTTACATAAATTGAAAATATATCTACTTTTTCATCTCATTTCGGTATGAGGACTGACAGTTTATAATAAATTAATAATTGTTTCATTTTGAAATGTCAGTTGCATAGCTACCTATGGTTACCGTTTTGTAGTACCATAGGATATTATAGAACAGGATATTATAGAATCAGGAAGTACAGGGCTACTTAAAACTATAAAAAATTACAGGGTGTCCTATTTGAAATATTGAAGATGCATTTTATTGGGCACTTCCTGTATACGAAATTTGGTTTGTTGCTACATTGTTGGTCGGTACAGATAAAATAATACAACTTTTATTTCAAACTTTTTTTTATTCCCGAAATTACGGAAAATAAGTGGTGGTCAAAATATAATGAGAAACCCGGTACATGTTTGAAGTCACTAAATATATGGGTAAAAACCCTTCGAATGTTGTATTAATTTTGAGTTACGTTTTTCTAAATTATAAATTATGATGTTTAAGAACAACAGGAATTAGTTACATGGCAACTTAAGTCCTTAGACAAAGTATCTGTGAGAACTTACTGATAGCAAATGACAACAGAGTTGTCACCGCGGGGTAATTAATAAGGGTCTAAGCACCTTCTGTACCACCGTGTGCTCTGTAGAGGGCTTCGAAAACATCAACGATAGATCCTCTACTCAAGTCCATTTTCAAGGTATGGACTCGAAAATGTTTTCTTCTGGTATCTTGCCTTGAAAAAGGCAAGATATTTCTTACATGACAAAGGTTAAGTCGAAATAAAAATACCAGGTTGCAGTAGAATAACATCTCAGCTACAGAGTATGGGAAAATCTAAAAACAAGAAAGCAGAGCCCCGAGAGCACTAAGCTCTCGGAGAGCCCGTGAAGGACTGACTCATTGACCTGAAAATCGCCTATTTTGGAAATGGAACTATCACCCTTGTATCCCATAACGGGCAGTCTTGATAACAGCTAATTTCGTTTTTACGTAATAGATATGGAGTATATTCGTCTGAAAATTTAATTTTTTCATCAGGCCAACTTTTCCAAGTCCACTGCAAACATTTATATTATACTGGGTCTTCCTTACTCTCATTGGCAATGTCTTTGGCACAGATTAGATTCTCTGGGATGTTCTCAAGCATCAAAACATCATCTGAGCTTGGTGCTTCTAGCACATGTACCTTTTATGGCAATCTTGTAAGAGCATCTGTATTCTGAATTTTTGAACCTGGTACGTAACGTAATTCGTAATCATAAGCAGAAAACATAAGAGCCCATCCAAGAATTCTGGGTGACAGTATCTCTGGATCACTTTTTTCGGATTCAAAATACTCAACAATTTCTTATGGTCCGTTTTTATGCACTACTTCTCCTGCCATATTCATATTCATCGGAATTTTTTTATGCCCGATATTATGGCCAGTGCTTCTTTGTCGATTTGGTAGAAATTTCGTGCAGTAGATGATAGAGCATGATATGTACGCCACTGGATATTCACGTCCCTCGGCCACGTGACTAAGCACATCACCGTAAGTACCACACTTAAAATAATCTTTTTGTTCACTGTAACGTCCTAACACAGGTTCATTCGCTAAAATTTCTTTTAATAATTTTCGTGTCCTTTAGAAGAACATGATAAAAATTTAAGAGTCCAAGAAAAGCTTGCATTTCGGTTTTATTGGTTGACGCCGGCGCATTAGTTATGGTCGCGATTTTGTCTTTAGTGGGGTGTAAACTGTCTTCACTTATTTAAAAAACAAAAAACGTTATAGTTTTTGTTTGAAAAACGAACTTTTTTTTTGGGCAAATGCAGTCTATCTTTCTGGAAACGCGATAATACTGCGCGCACTTTTGAATCCAAGTCTATTTCTGAGCTACCGACTATTAAAATGTTATCGTAATAAGGTAGTACACCAGGAATACATGTTAATACAGTGTCTGTGAATTGTTGAAAAATTTGTGGAGCCACTGATATACCGAACTGTAAACGATTGCATTCAGAAGCTCCATTATGCGTAATTATTGTTTTTGCTTTAGCAGTTACGCGGTTGACACTTAACTGCAGATAAGCTTGCGCCATGTCCAGTTTTGCAAAAACTTTGCAAAAACTGCCGCAAGTGTGGATATGATACCCTGTACCGATGGCACTGAATAAGGTTCCGGATTTGAACGCTAAATGTGGATTTGAAGTCACCACAAATCTTAATCTCCCCATTTTCTTTGCAGTCACAATTGGGGTGCAATATTTTGGGTGCGTAATCGGCTCAAACCCCTTTTACAACAAGCGTGTCCAGTTCAACTTCGATTTTGTCTTTTAGCGCAAATGGACGAGCTTTACGCTTAACCGGCATTTTTGTCCAACGAAAAAATTACTGGGGGACCCCGGTAAGATACCAAATCTGTATTAGATACATCTGTGTGTTCCTCTGAATAATTAATCATTGATAAAATTTTACTTACCCCATGGTTAAACCCAAACTATCAAACCAGTTTCTGCCGAGTATACACTTCCGCTATTTATACTAATTCTTCTTTTTTTAATGAAAGAAGAAGAAGTGTAATTTAAGTTTATTTAAGCTGTTAATACTGTGAGCTAGGAACTTTTGTGTTGTAGGTTTTCAACTATGAATCTGTCAAAATATGCCCGAGTTGAGCGAATGGATCTTATTAAATTTTTTTTATTACATATTAACAGCACTTGACGTATTAAACAAACGTAGGTACTGTCAACGAAATAAATATATTCTTTAGTCATACCTTATACCTCACATTTCTTAAATACGAAAATACTACTATGGAGGACATGCAAGGTGCTAGATTTAAAATAATTGGGGTATAGTATTTAAATTTAAAAATGTAATCAACCAATCTAATTAAATGAAGCAACTACGCTGTAAGTATTTACTAAATTACACTTAAATTAAATTGAACAATATCTAAATATATTTTACTTACACTAAAATATACTTAAATACTTTTTTGTATGTTAAAATTTAAATTTAAATGTCTTGTTAATAAACCAGATTTTTTTTTAAATCTGATTACTATACCTTGTGCAATAGAACAGAGGTTTATATTACTCTGTATAATAGAAAAGTTCTCCTGAAATTTCTAAAATTAGTACAGTAGAAAAATAAATGAAAGAGAAAGACATTTTCAAAATAAATATTAGGTAAAGTATATAGTGTTTAGTGTGAAAAAGTTTAAACAGTTGAAGTGAAGCGAAAACCCCAAACAAACCTGTTTTCGACTCATCCATGTACAACATGACCTCGGTATCGGATAAGGCCTTGGGCTGGCCGCCAAGAGTTGACAGCACCATGGAAGCCTCCGTCAGAGGAGTACCTGGACCTGGAGTATTAAGCTCGGCTCGGGAAGTTCCAGGAGGGTCCATTTTGTTCTTGGATTTTCTCCGCTTCAGAACCGATGCCTTTTTCGCTACCTGTAATATTAGGGACTGACCCAACGTATGGATATTCAACACCAATACATCAAACACTGCATCTAAAACTAGCAAAACTGGGAAACTTTCCGGATTTATTAAAATATATATTATGATTTCCTTAGTAAATATATATAAGTAAATTTGCACAGATAATAAATTTAAAATAATTTTTCATTAACTTAAATATACTGTTATATATTTTTTATTTTCCACATCAACTTAATATGAAAAATATCTCAAATCAGTCAGTTAATCTCAAAAAAGAAAATAATGAACAAAACAATAAAAAACATACAAAACAAACGACAGTATATCAACATAGTAAAAGGCTCAAATATGCAGTCACTATATGTAGTTAATAATCATTTAAAAGAAGAAATTCATGTCATTATGATCATAAATATCTGAGAAACTTCAGGGTACCGTTTATATTAAAATTTGGAAAAAGAGGTATGATCTAGATATATTATATAGATCAATAATAGGTTTCACCTACTGCATGTTAAAAAACGAACCAATGCATCAGCATCTACAGAGTTGTTTTGAGCTGAATCACACCTTTATCTTGTATTGTTTTCATAATATTCATCTCCTTACGATACTTCTTCTAACCTATATTTTCCTGTGAATTGTGAACCGCAATATGTAATAAATTTCTCCACGCATTATATCTCCAAGATACTAAAGTTTTCTTTCTTTTACTTTTATTTCAATTCAAAATGTTTTTCTCTCTTAGTTCTTCTTAGTACTTCAAAGCTGGTATAGTGATTCACCATGTAATATTTAGATTTTTTTTATATGTGTATATCTCAAAGGCTGACATTAACTGATTACCTTCTATACTAAAGTTTTCTTTCTTTTACTTTTATTTCAATTCAAAATGTTTTTCTCTCTTAGTTCTTCTTAGTACTTCAAAGCTGGTATAGTGATTCCACCATGTAATATTTAGATTTTTTTTATATGTGTATATCTCAAATGCTGACATTAACTGATTACCTTCTCGACGGTTATATACATGGACAGCTCCACAACATACCAAAGAAAAAATAGTGAGAAATCAAATAGACTACATTATGATAGCAAGGAGGTATCGTAATGCTGTTAAATGTACTAAGACGTACCCAGGAGCTGATATAGGCTCAGATCATAACCCGGTAGTTACTGTGATAGAGGCGAGACTAAAAAAGATTAGAAGACCACACAGAAAGGCACTAGATTTAAATAAACTTAGAAACAAAATATACGACAAGAAACAGGAGAAGAAATAAATGAAAACCTCCGTTCAGTGCAGCAACAAATTAACGATACAAATAACGTTAACCAAAAATTATAAAGTACATAAATACAGCTATACAAACATCAGCAAAGAAACATCTTACAAAAACAACAACAAAGAATAAGGGGTGGATGACACAAGATATACTAGACTTGATTGAACAAAGAAGAAAGATGAAGAATTACCAGTCAAATACAAAAAAATAAATGAACACATAAAAAAGAGAATAAAAGAAGCCAAAGAGGAGTGGATTAAAGAACACGTGCAAGAAATGGAAACCAATGAGAAAAAGTACGATGCGTTCAATATACACAAAAAATAAAAGAGATAACAGGAAGCATAAAGAAATGCCAAATAGGTAAACTTAAAGACAAAGATGGAAATCTTATTGTAGATCTAGAGAATAAAATAAAAAATTGACAGAATACCTAAATGAATTATTTGAAGACGATAGAAACAACTTATCTCAGATAATCAATGCAATTGGGCCAGACATATTGAAAGAAGAAGTAGAATACGCAATAAGAAACGCTAAAGATGGAAAAGCAAATGGACCTGATGAAATTCCTACAGAACTGTTGGAAGCTTTTGAATGATAAATCCGTAACCATAATATTACATCTATTCACTACAATATACAGTACTGGTATAATACCTCAAGAATGGTTGCTGTCTACGTTTGTCACCATACCGAAGAAAACTAAGGCAATGCAATGTTCAGATCATCGAACAATCTCCTTGATGAGTCACCTGCTTAAAATATTTCTTAGAGTCATCCACAACCGAATCTATCAAAAGTTAGATATCGATATTAACGATACACAGATGGATTCAGAAAAGGATTAGGTACAAGAGAAGCTCTCTTTGCCTTAAATGTCCTAACACAGAGATGTCTAGATGTTAACCAAGAGGTGCATGCCTGCTTTATAGACTTTGAAAAGGCCTTTGACAAAGTACGCCACAATCAACTCAAAGAAATCCTGGAAGGTAAGAACATCGACACCAGAGACATGCAAATAATATTAAATCTGTACTGGAATCAGCGAGCTAATATAAAGGTAGAAGACGAAACATCGGACGAAATAGAAATACGTAGAGGAGTACGATAGGGTTGAATATTGTCACCGCTTTTGTTTAATATCTACAGCGAACAAATATGCCAAGAAGCTCTCTCACATGCAAACGAAGGGATAATAGTCAATGGAGAAGTTATCAATAACATTCGATATTCTGACGATGTCCCGTGTGGGATGCGGGCCACTAAGAAGAATACACCCACAGGATCTCCTACTGGTCGTAAGAGGCGACTGCAGGAGCAGCTGACCGCTGTCCCTACCCAACATTCCATCTCGTTCTTTACCCATCTATTTACCTAGAACCTATCTCACCCACACCCCGAGTGTTGGATGAGTCCTCTTAACCGTGTTTGAGTGGAAGAGGCCCATTTTACGCGGGGGGTGTGTGTGGCATATACATGCCGCGCACCCTACACACAAACTGCGTAACTTGCGCCTTTCCCCATTCACACACTCCTAAGTTTCCTCACTCGCCAACCCGCCTGACAAGCGTGGCGTTTAAATGTCAAAAAAACCCTCTTCAACAAACATGTCGAATCACAAAACAAACGGAAAATTACCCCAGGTGGGTAGAGATAACATCTCGAAGTCCCACACCGACAAACCGGTCTGCCTCAAGGATTCTGGGGGAGGCAAACATTCGACTAAACTAAACATAGGAACATATAACATCAGATCCATGAATGATGATACTAAACTTCACGAATTAGAAGAAGAACTAAATAATATACAATGGGATGTCATTGGTCTGTCAGAGATAAGAAGAAAAGGTGAACAAAAAATACTATTAAACTCAAGAAACATGCTGTACTACAAAGGCAATGAAGATAACTCTAACAACGGAGTTGGTTTTATAATAAACAAGAAAGTCGTCAGATACATACAATCCACCAAGGGTATATCAGACAGAGTAGCCTACATTATGCTTAAATTAAAAAGAACGTCTTTGAAAATTATACAGGTATACGCGCCAACAAGTTCATATACAGATGAAGATATTGAAAACTTCTACGAAGAACTAACACTCGCTATGGAAGAAAAGAAAACTAAATTGACGCTAATAATTGGAGACTTCAATGCCAAATTAGGGGGAAGAATAGATGGAGAAGAACACAGAATTGGAAAGTATGGATATGGCGAAAGAAATAATAGAGGACACACATTAATGAACTACTTGGAGGAGAGACAACTTTTTGCTATGAACTCGTTTTTTAACAAAAAACCACAAAGAAAATGGACATGGATAAGTCCCAACGGTAATACAAAAAACGAAATAGATTACATCCTTACAACAGAAAAAACCATCATCAAAGATGTTACAGTACTGAACCGCTTCTCAACCGGTAGCGATCATAGACTTGTCAGAGCCAAACTCAGGATTAATAGCCAATTCGAAACAAAAAAGAAAATAGAAAATGTATCGAAACTAGATATGGAAAAACTTAAGCAATCAAAAGACGAATATAAACAAAAAATAAAGGAAAGTATACCGGTCACTAGAGATTTGGAAAACAAAAATATCGATGAAATAAATCAGCTATTAACCGATACATTAGCAAAGGCGGGAAAAGAGGTAGCACAAACAAGAATAAAAAAGGAAAACTATGTATCCCAGGAAACAAAAAATCTCATGAGTAAAAGAAAAACATTACTGGAACAAGATAAGAGAAACACAGTAGATTACAAAGAGGTAAACAAAGCTATCAGAAGGAATATCAAGGATTATAAAAGGAGAGTACAGGAAGAAAAAATAGAAAAAGCAATTGAACAAAATAAAAACATGAAGTGCTTAAAACCACAGCTTGGAACCATACAAATTAATAGTATAAAGAACAAAGAAGGTACAGAGACCAATAATGTAGAAGAAATTATACAGATAACACAAGAATATTATAAAAACCTCTACAATACAAAACAGAAACCAACCCAAGAAATCCTTAAGCAACTACAAATAAAAATAAAAAATGTTAATTCCGACTTACAACCAGAGATCAGTAAGAACGAGATAAGAAGAGCACTCAAAGAGATGAAGAACAATAAATCGCCAGGAAAAGACGGGGTGACTGTAGAAATGCTAAAACATGGTGGGAAAACAACTAGAGAAGTTTTGTACATACTTATGAATAAAATTTTAATGACAAAACAAATACCCAACAGTTGGAACGAAGCAATAACACTGTTACTATTTAAGAAAGGAGATAAAAAGGATCTAAAGAATTACAGACCCATAACTTTATTAAATGTGATGTACAAACTATTAACCAAAATATTAACAAATAGATTAACAACTAAATTAGATGGATACCAGGCAAGAGAACAAGCCGGATTTAGAAAGAGCTTCAGTACAAGTGACCACCTTTTAACGATGAAGATTTTAATCGAAAAAACTAACGAATATCATATCCCGCTATACATGGCATTTATTGACTTTGAGAAGGCATTTGATAGTGTGGAACACTGGGCAGTACAGAATTCCCTACAAAACAGCAGAATAGACTACCGATATACCGACTTAATTACAAATATATACAACAAGGCAACAACAACTATTAAGCTAATGAAACAAACGGAGCCTATTAAAATAAACCGAGGAGTAA